ATGTGGCCTTTATGGCGCTTCCGCGCACGCGGGAGCATACCTAGCGAGTTGAGTGATTACCGCGCCAGCCACTTACACCCTCCCTCATCCTTGGTCTTATTGACTCTGCCTTTACACCGGAAACGAGGTGGGTGGCGAGCGAGTGGGCAGATTCTCCGCAAGTCTGCTTTAACTCCTGTTTTCTTTCGCGGTAGTTCGTTGCGTTGCTTCTGCTTGCTGTAGCTTCCATGTTGCTGGCCCAGTTTGCCTCAGTGTCTGTTGTGACCTGCTTCAGCGTTTGCTGCGGCCTGTTGGAGCGCGTGGTGCCCATCTTTAAAATCGACGGGGGAAATGTCGTGTGTGTGTGTGTCTGTAACTGAAGCTGTGAGCATAAATCGCAGTCATGGTGACCTTAAAAATACCAACAACGTCTAAGGCGTCCATTTGACCTCTTCCCTATTCAGTGAAATGCGGACGGCTGTCAGGGGAGGGGGCAGGCAGGCAGGGTAATCAACTAACTTACCATCATTTTCCGCCAGGACAATGCCACTCGTGTTTCCACTGTGTACATCCAACTGCAGCTGACTGATATTTTCTGCATGTTGGTAGTTGACGACATCGCGATATGGCGCAAGCGCTGTTAGCGGTACGCGCTGGCTTTCCGTGGTAGGTTTCGATGACGTCATCACCTCCTGCACTACTGTGTTCAGCCACTGGCCTAGATTGACCACTGCCATATGACAGAGGATGAACCGTAGGAAAAACTTCTGTACATTAAAGACCACCTGACCAGAAAGAGGGAGAGAAGCCACTGAATGGAGTGTAGCAGAGAAAAAAAAGATAAAACTGTCTTTTGGGTTGATTTCAGTAGGGTAATAGACATTGCCGTTGAAAAGCCTTTTAAAAATGTGCATAAACATATTCAACTTAATATACATACATACATACATACATGCAGAGCAACTACAATTCTCTGACGAAGGAAGCGAAAAGGTTTCCGAAACGTCGGTTAAAATATAATTTTGTCAACGAACGCGCCCTCTTTTCTTCTTCTGCTTGAGGAGATCGTCGCTGTTGCAATAGCTATAAGCCCGATGGAATAGAGTTTGGACGCAGCTTCTTTTGTGAGCAGCGGGGTGAGTGCTTCTATAACTAAGGATAATCTCCGCATTGGACCCTTTCCTGTAGACGCTTGTGGATAGATTGTCATCCCTCAGTTTTTTGTATTTTAACATCAAGGAAAGGCAGCTTGTCTCCTACTGCGCCTTCTCGATTAAACTGTATGACTGGGAAGACCTCATTTAGTCTCCGATGTAGCACTTCGAAATCTTTTTTTTCTTGTGATAGAAGTGTCACCTTCAAAACGGAGCCACAGTGTAGGCTTAATGGTTAGAGAAGCCTCTTCCTCCAATCATTGCAATGCTAGTTCTGCCAGTTTTTTTGAGATCGGTGAGCCCATTGGGGCTCCCTCTACCTGTCTGTAAAGCTTGTTCTCGAATTGACAGTAGTTCCTAAGGCAGAAATTGAGCAGGTTTATAATGTACTGTTTTGGGATTTCGACAAGGTTGTCCTGTAAACGTTGGACTACGCAATCAATTGCCAAATCATGTGATATGGATGAAAACAAGGCAACTGCATCAAAAGATAAGAGACATTCATCGCTACTTACTCTGTGGTCTTGGATTCTACGAATGAATGCCTGCGAGTTGTTGGTGCTCTACTCCGATTCATAAGCTAGATGTTTCAAATTCTGTATAACCACTCAGCCATATTGTAAAGGAATCTGCGTCCAAACTCCATTTCATGAGGCTTGTCGCTATTGCAATAGCGACGATCTTCTCAAGAAACGAATTACTTACCTGTTTCGGTTGTTTCAATTTAACGGATATTCTGGAAGCTTCGTAAAGAACTGCCTCAGGCGTCAAGCATAACCACAAGCTCCCAAACCCAACGGAGAAATGACCACGCGAAGATTCTACTCCCTTCCTTATATGCAGGGAACTTCCAAAGTAATCGCCAGACAGTTGCATCCCTTCGATATCCACATCGAGCGTAAACCAGTATCGTCATTACGGGCAGCGCTATCACGTATAAAGGATTTTATAGCAAATGAACAACAATCCAACGTGATTTATCGCATACCGTGCGCAGATAGCTCTTGCGCGTATGTTGCTCACACAGGTCGACTCCTAGGTACCCGTATCAAG